TTCCAGAATGTTCAACAGTTTCAGCTGGAGGGCGGGTCCCACTGAGTTCCCAGGACCAGCTCTGAGTGTGCTGGCCCCTGGGCGACCTCCCTCCCCACTGACACATCCTCTGTAAGGGAGTCACTTTCTGGACAAGCCACTCAGCCTCCCAGGGCCTCAGGACATTTGCCTGCAGGATCGGGGGCGGGGCAGAGGAGGGAGACAGAAAGATTTCTCAGGTACCACACCTCCCCAACACCTGTGGAATCCAAGTTCCCCTTACAGCCTGGCCACAGTCTCTCACCCAGGGTTTCCTGTTGGGCTTTCTAGGCCCCACCCCAGAGCTGGGCACTTGGCTCCCTGACACAGAGGCAGACATGGTGCCCCTGCTGCTGCTACCCCTGCTGTTGGGGGGGAGGGTGAGTGGCTAGGTAGGGGTGCAGGGATGCCTCTGAGCCTCATGTTCCCACCACGAGAGTACCTGCAGCAGCTGCAAGGCTATGAGATCCAAGTGCAGGAATCGGTGACGGTGCAGGAGGGTCTGTGTGTCCACGTGCCCTACTCCTTCTCCTACCCGTGGAGTTCGTGGTCTTCCTCTAGTGAACTCTACACCTACTGGTACCGGCAGAGGGATAACACAGCCTATTCTGCTCCTGTGGCCTCGAGCAACCGGAATAAACCAGTGAAGACAGAGACCCAAGGCTGCTTCCTCCTCGCGGACCCCACGACCAACAACTGTTCCCTGCAAATCAGAGACGCCAGGAGCAGTGACAGAGGACGCTACGTCTTCCGAGTGGAGAGAGGAGATTCTGTGAAATATAATTTCATAATGAAGAAGCTGCATTTGCAGGTGACAGGTACTGCAGGGGCCCCGGAGAGGACCCAAGGACAGGGGACCCCGTCTTAGAGCAGGAACAGGACATTGGACACTCCCTGTCCAGGCCGTGGGCCCTGGGTGGTGGGAAGGGACACAGGGCCTGGGTGAGCTCAGCCCGAGGCAGGGTCGCTCTCAGGGTCCCGCTCTGAGTCCCCACCCCTGGAGCCCAGGCACCTGCCTTTCTCCCCTGCAGCCCTGAGTGAGAAACCCCACATCCGTGTAAGGGAGCCTCTGGAGTCCGGCCACCCCACAGAGCTGGCCTGCAGCCTGCCAGTGGCCTGTGAAGGGGGACGACCTCTCACCTTCTCCTGGGCGGGAGCCGCTGTGGACTCGCTGGACCCCCAGAACCTCAGCTCCTCGGTGCTCACCTTCACCCCGAGGCCCCAGGACCATGGCACCAATCTCACCTGTCAGGTGAAACGGGAATGGCCTCAGTTGACCACACAGAGAACCATCCAGCTCAATGTCTCCTGTGAGTATTGGAGGGGTGGCTGGGTCCATGGGGGCAGGGGGAGCAATGTGTGTGTGTGTGTGTGTGTGTGTGTGTGTGTGTGTGGGGGGGGG